CGAAAAAGGAGCCGTTTTCTCATTTTTCTACTTTCAATATTAAATCAAAAAACGAATGATCGAATGATACATGGATTCACATACTGTATATCATTCTATTTTCCTCTAGTGGTGGATGTGCCACCTACTGGCCAACGTTTATAAAACATACTCAAAAACATTATGCTTTTTGGCCTGATATCATGCTTGCTTGCTCCATATAGCTGTAGAATATGATGATTAATAATTATTTATGGCCTCCCATATGCCTTTCCAACATTTGGAACAGGTTTCAAAATTACCTTGTAATTGCTGCTTGCTGTTATATTTACTTTTGTTTGTTTTGTTGATGTTGCCCAACCACTGAACAGTTCAAGTAAAAAACTGATGGAAAATAACTTACCATAACAATAATTAGAATGCTAGATTTACATTGATCATACTAACACCCTAAATTATTGTCATGGCAAAACCAGCACTGTGTCAGTACACCAAAAAATGAAAACTCTGTCATCATTTACTCACCCTTGTGTTATTCTGTGGAACAGAAACTAGATATTTTAAAAGTAAATCTTTTCAAACATTTTAAGCTAAAGTGAATTTAACAGATTTGTGAACCAAATGAACCAATTCAAGAACCAACTCAATATGTTCACTGATTGGTTCTTGTGTTCGATTTGAACTGCCCAAGATATACTTCTTCAAAATTTCTACTTTTGAGATCCACAGAAAAAAATAAAAGCATAGAGATTTAAAACGACATGAGGGTGAGTAAATAATGACAGAAATATAACTTTTGTATTAACTATCCCCTTAAATTAGTAAATTAGTAGTAAATTATTTTCCAATTTATTTTTACATAGTGAATTTCATACTCTCCTCACCATGCTTTTTGTGTTGATTAATGAATAAGTGCATCTCTGAATAGTCTCCATTAACTCTTTGTGGTGGTCTGTGCTTACACTGCAAGCTTCCTAGCAGAACATTAGGTTTCCCAATGCATTTGCCTGACACAGTGATGATGAGGAAACCTGTTATGTGCTCAGGCTAAAAGGACACACACAGTTGGGTTTGGGACAGAGGCCAGTGTCTGAGAAGCTAGTGTTTACTCTATGGCTTCAGTTCCCTCCTACAGACCTACAGCACTGAATCTGCTCTCCAAGGCTGTTTAAATCTTTTTGTCTATGAAAATGGCAGATTTGTAGTTTGCTGTATCCAGGATTCAGAGTAGCTTAAAGACAGTTATTGTACACATACATATTGGTAAGCTGATATTGATTTAAAAGTTATATTCTGTACAGCCAGTCACATTTCAACAATATCTTATGGTTTTTTGGATGGTTTAACCCTCTTAGATTTCAGCAGACTGTGTTTATAACCTCCAGGCACTACCATAGTATGGATATCTTTACCTATTATGACCTGCTGTCTCTAAATGGGACCAAAGTGGCAGACGGACATAAAGCCAGCTTCTGCCTAGAGGACACAGAGTGCCATGAAGGTAAGACAGAAGTCAAAGGTCATATGCTGGACATGTCTGTATAATGAAAACCAACGTAACCAACCAACCCTTTCTAAGGTACATTTATTAAAAACTACTTAAATGCCCTAGCTGAACTACAGCCTGATCCTGGCTTAATCTAAGCCCTGTCTGTGAAACCAGGCCCAAATTTGAAATCTTTTTTACTTTATTATTGAGTTTCATTTATAACTATAATATAATTTTATATTCTAAAGATAAAAGAAAAAAAATATTTCTGTCATGTGCTATCAATGATATGTGCCCTTTAACTGTTTTAGAGTAACATCATGTCAGGGCAGTTGTTTATCCACTAGGGGTCCCTAAACTTCTAAGTATAGAAATGTATTTATTTATCAGTTATAATAATGTCACATTTACAGTGACCATTACTGTAAACCTGCTGTCACCTTTATACATCTGGTATGTTATTCAATACTTTGAATTTGAATAAATACATATTAAATATATTAAACCAACCATAGGTTGGCAAACTTGCAGGTCTTAGCTGATCTAAGCTGGTTTAGTTGATCTTCAATTATCTAAAAATCTTCTAAAACAGTATAGTTCATCCTAACCGCTTTCACTAAGTTAGACTGTTCAAACAGAATGTTTTTGCTTTCGCTTATTTTTATGGAAGCTTGTTTCTGCCACTAAATAAAAAATGTAATTGCAACTTTTTATCTCACAATTCTGACTTTTTTTCTTGCAATCCTGACTTTTTTTCTCAGAATTGCATGATATAAACTCGTAATTGCAAGTTATAAAGTCAGAATTGCGAGATATAAACTTGCAACTGTGAGAAATAAAGGGAAGCCCGTTTCCGCCACTGAATAAAAATCTTGCAATCCTGAGAAAAAAAATCAGAATTGCTAGTTTATTTTTTATTCAGTGGTGGAAACGGGCTTCCATTTATTTCTCACAGTTGCGAGTTTAAAGGGGTCATATGATGCTATTTTAAAGATCATTATTTTGTGTATTTGGTGTAACAGAATATGTTGACACGCTTTAATGTTCAAAAAACACAATATTTTTCAAATACTGTACATTATTGTAGGTCCTCTATGCCCCGCCTCTCTCAAACACGTCGTTTTCAACAAAGCCCCCTCCTTTGACAAGCGCAGTCTGCTCTGATTGGCCAGCTGACCCAGTGCATTGTGATTGGCCGAACACCACAAGCACGCGTCGGAAATGTAACGCCCCTTACCATAATCGCGAGCTTCAGCTTTCAAAGTAAATATCAAGACAGTTAATAATGTCGTTAGTTTTACCATCAGTTCAAGCCCGAAAAGGCAACAGAGTCGCGTGACAGACACAGTGATGATGCAGTACACAAGCGCGGTTAAGACAGCTGACGTGCTATGATTTCTGACAGGCAGTTCACTCTCCTGTGATGTGACCCTGTTCCCCTCACACACACACACACGACGCGTTACTCTGCGCTGCGCAAAACTCCGCATTTGAACAGTCAATAGCAAATACTTAAACTAATAACAAAACATACTTACAGTCGCTGATTCAGAAGCGTCAGATTGTCATAGCAGTCGGAATTGACCCTTTTTTTTGTTTTTTTTAGAAATAGCCTTTGTGCACAGCCAGCCTTGTACTCTTCTAGGTTAAAAAAAACTGTCGTCCATAAAATGCGTTGCACAAAGTCAACATCTGGGTTGTGCTGTTTTGTTGTAAATAAATCTTAACCAATGATTCCTAAATGCATCTACTTCTGGAAGGCCAAATAAAGTGCTTTTGCTTTCGCACTGAAACACACAGCGTCTCCCTGACATGGCTGCATCAACACTACTGCTGTTCCTGAAACCACGCCTTCTTTCTTTGCGTGCACATTTGGGTGGCATTATGCTAATATTTCCACATAGTGATGTAGATATGTGGGGGCGTGTTAGAATGAGCCATTTTAGGTAGGCGTGGCTGACTCTTAACTTTTATAAAGAATATCTCTTTGGATTTGAGACTTTAGTCTTTGCAACTTTACAGATCTTCTTTATGCACCAAGAGCTTGAAACACTCCAAAGAGAAAGGAAAACTTGAAATTGCATCATATTACCCCTTTAAATATCGCAGTTCTGAGCTTTTTTTTCCTGCAAGTGCAAGTTTATATAACGCCATTCTGAGAAAAAATTCAGAATTACGAGTTTGACAACTTTGAGGAAAAAAAAGTCAGAATTGTGAGATGTAAACTCGCAATTGCAAGGAAAAATTTAAGAATTGTGAGAAGTCACAATTAACTTTTTTTTTTTTATTTAGCGGCGGAAATGGGCTTCCATAGATTTTCCATTTCGTTCATTGTGCTCAAAAGTGCCACGTTTTCAAAAATGTTATATTTAAAAAGTCTCAATTTTAGGTTTTTAATTCCACTGCACTGACTATTATTTAAAAAAAAATGCTTAAGGCCTCTAGGCCTGTTTTTCAAAGCTGAGCTATAATCTTTTTTAACGCTTTTTAAAAGGACGCGTGGCGAGAGAGTAACGGTCAAAGATGTCCATCTAATGCTTTAAATAGAAAAACAATGGAAAAAAAGCGCAGTGGAATGCAAAAACACGTTCCTTGTGAACGACACCTTAGATTATTTCAAGGTGTTCTTGAGCAGGAATACTGGCTTGTGTCTCCACTGAGCTGTTGCTTACCTTGTTGCAGGTGTTTTGAAACACTACGAGTGTGCCAACTTTGGTGAGCAGGGCATCACAGTGGGCTGCTGGGACTTGTACAGACATGATATTGACTGCCAGTGGATTGACATCACGGATGTTATACCAGGAAACTACATTCTACAGGTATTCACTTGTGGTGCTACCTTGTCACAGAAAGAGTAACCACCTTGGTACTTTGGTAGAAATGTATTTCGGATAGATCGATAGCACACTAACGGGAGAGACTGTTACATGAGCAGACTTTGGTCCCGTAGGACCCCATTGTCTGGGTTTTTCAGCAAGTCAAACAGTTGTCAGAGCTGTTGCAGTTCTGCTCTCTAGTGGTGGAGATGCGTCACAGCGCTCACCATCCTGTCCAGGAATGCAAGGCTTAGAAGAATAATAGGATTTGGTTTGATTAATGATGTAATAAACCTTAAGTACACAGAGGGAGGGCAGAGGTTTTACTGGGAAAGACCCTCCCAGATTAGGATTTACTAATAAAAAGACCACGTTTGTCCACATGCTTTGCTGATTATGCGGTTAGCTAGATCAAGTTTGATTACAATTATGCAACCAGGTTTTCCAGTATCAGTCTTAACTTTTTCCTCTTTCTCAGGTCATAATAAACCCCAACTTTGAGGTAGCTGAGAGCGACTTCACCAACAACGCTATGCGGTGCAACTGCAAATACGATGGCAACCGTGTCTGGTTGCATAAATGTCATCTTGGTGAGACGGGCTGTTGTTCGCTGGGTCCTTCAGACCTGCCTGATTCTATTAAACATTTGATGGGAATGAAATGACATGCTTGCTTAATCAGATATTTTAGATGAGCACCAAATGAAACAGTTTCTTTACCTTCAGTTTTCTTGTTGGTGGCCAATTTCAGCTTAATTTGTATTATTTGTGCTTCCAGGTGATTCATTCAGCGAGGAGGCTGAGAAAGAGTTTGAACATTATCCGGGGCAGCTCAACAACAAGATCTCTTAACATATTTGCGAATGAACCCAGGGAACCCAGGAACTGCAATAACCACATGGCTCTGGACAAAGAGAAACTTTAATCACTTAACATTAGCCTACTATTTATTCTCTTTTGAATCCATTGCTACTGTGGTCCAATCAGATGTTGTCATGCTGAGTTTACGTTTAGATTAGGTCATCAGAAAACATCATATAGCCAAGGGCCTCAGAGACAGAACAGAGCTGTGATTGTGGACTGGGCTTTTGTCCATGCAAATGCAAGTGGTTGGTTTAGAGGAAGACAGTGGCTATACACTTCCTCTTGAACAAATGCTGAACACCTCAGAGCAGATGTTCACGTGAAACACCAGTTTCCTTTAATGAATTTTCAACATGCATCAGGGAATTATAAAAGATGCTTTATGTGTTTACAGACTGTGATTGCTGATGGAATAGAAGGCTTCTTGTACCTCATCACAGTATGTGCATTTATGTGTATGCCCATGCAGGATTTGTGTGTGCTGTGTATGTTTCTGGAATGTCCTATAATCATGTTTGTAAAATATACAAATCTGCACTTTTAAAAACCGTCTTGGTGTCATTTACATCATCTTCTCTGCCTACATTCAGATCTAAACAAAAAAAAAAAAACTATAAAATGCAAAAGTTTTGAACATGTTGCCGTTTCTGGGCATTTCTCAAAGCTGGATTCAAATGAAAGCCAAATGACTTCAGTAAATTCTACTGAAAACTCTACAATGATACAGAACTGAGATTGAGAATGTTCTGGCTTTTATATTAAGAAAATCTTTACTTTTGCAGTCATACATGATAAATGAAGAGCAATTCCCAAAAGTCATTGATTCAGAATCAAACTTATGCATTTAACAGACTGAGAGGATTTTCCACAACACGATTCCAGCTCACATCATAAACACACTTCTGAATGTTTATAACCAATTAGTTATAGGCTACTAAAAAAAACAAACAAAAAAAATTACATTTTAACTAGTCGCATAATCTTAAATCGGGGTGCCCAATCCTGTTACTGGAGATCTAGCTTCCTGCAAAGTTCAGCTCCAAACCTGATCAAACATACCTGAACCAACTAATTATGATCTGAAAGAACACTTGATAATTACAGACGGGTGTTTGATCAGGGTTGGAACTGAACTCTGAAGGTAGGTAGATCTCCAGGACCAGGATTGGGCACCCCGGTCTTAAATCTACAACTAACAATACTTACAACTAGAAAAATGGTTCATACCTGGGCTGCATTTCCCAAAAGCATCGTAAGCCTAAATTTTACTTAAGCTTACGATGCTTTTGGGAAACGCAGTCCTGACCACTTCAGCCTCAGCTTTTTGATTTATAAAATTCTTCATCTATTTGGACTCAAGATCTTACTTTGAATAGAAAAACACTAGTAAACCAGTCAGGTTCTTATATTTGTTTTATTAACATGAAAAGGTACAACTGGAGGGTTTAAGTGACAGGAAATGCAGTAGGAAAAACAACAAACAAAAAAAACACACACGATGCGACAAGACTTGAAAGAGGAAGAGACATGAAAAACATAACAGAATTGTTAATTTAAGCAAGCTCCTCTTCGCCCTCCTCCTCAAACTCTCCTTCCTCCTCAGCGGTGGCGTCCTGGTACTGCTGGTACTCGGACACCAGGTCGTTCATGTTGCTCTCAGCCTCGGTGAATTCCATCTCGTCCATGCCCTCTCCGGTGTACCAATGCAGGAAAGCCTTGCGCCTGAACATGGCCGTGAACTGCTCCGAGATTCTCTTGAACAGCTCCTGGATGGCAGTGCTGTTGCCAATGAAGGTGGCGGCCATTTTGAGCCCACGAGGTGGAATGTCGCAGACGGCAGTCTTGACGTTGTTGGGGATCCATTCGACGAAATAGCTGCTGTTCTTGTTCTGAACGTTGAGCATCTGCTCATCCACCTCCTTCATGGACATGCGGCCACGGAAGACAGCGGCAACGGTCAGGTAGCGGCCGTGACGAGGGTCGCAGGCGGCCATCATGTTCTTGGCGTCGAACATCTGCTGGGTGAGTTCGGGAACGGTCAGTGCGCGGTACTGCTGGCTGCCCCTGCTGGTCAGAGGAGCGAAGCCGGGCATGAAGAAGTGCAGACGAGGGAAGGGCACCATGTTCACTGCCAGTTTACGGAGATCTGCGTTCAACTGGCCGGGGAACCTCAAGCAGGTGGTGACTCCACTCATGGTGGCGGAGACGAGGTGGTTGAGGTCACCGTATGTGGGTGTTGTGAGTTTGAGAGTGCGGAAGCATATGTCATAAAGGGCTTCGTTGTCAATGCAGTAGGTTTCGTCTGTGTTTTCCACCAACTGATGGACAGACAGTGTGGCATTGTAGGGCTCGACCACTGTGTCCGAGACTTTAGGAGAGGGCACCACGCTGAAGGTGTTCATGATACGGTCAGGATACTCCTCACGGATTTTGCTAATGAGGAGGGTGCCCATACCAGACCCTGTGCCTCCACCCAAGGAGTGAGTGAGCTGGAAGCCCTGCAGACAGTCACAGCTCTCCGCCTCTTTCCGAACCACATCCAAAACTGAGTCAACCAGCTCAGCTCCTTCGGTGTAGTGGCCCTTAGCCCAGTTGTTTCCAGCACCACTCTGGCCTACCAACAAAAAAAATGGTCGGGAGTTTAGTTACATCTAAGCAAAAGGGAACTATATCCATATCAGGTCACAATCTGCCATTCAAATGTTGTTTCCGAGCCATTGTGGTTCAATCCTTTCCAAATCAAATATCCCAATAAACATTTGACAGTCAAACTTCGCTTTGGGGTGCATATTAAAACTTACCGAAAACAAAGTTATCTGGTCTGAAGATCTGACCAAATGGACCGGACCTCACGGAGTCCATTGTACCGGGCTCCAAATCCACCAGTACAGCACGTGGAACATACTTTCCACCTTAAAACAAAGAGCAGCATGTTATGTCAAACCAAATGTTGTAATGTGCATATGAAAGTTGTCATGTGAAGTGACCTTACAAAAGGCATCGGATTTCTGCTCACCTGAGGCTTCATTATAATAAACATTAATTCTGTCCAGCTGAAGGTCACTGTCGCCATGGTAACTGCCTGTTGGGTCAATTCCATGCTCGTCACTAATGACTTCCCAGAACTGGAACAAGAGGATTCAGAAGTAGGAACAAGAAAGTTTAGATTTAAAACGTTTTTGGACCTTGGACAAAATATTAAAATGGAACTACGTTCAAAAAAGGTAAATAGAAGGGGGGGAAAAAAAAAAAAAAAGGACGGCTAATCCAATATTGAATGGCCAGCGTTTCCCGTTACTCGCGCTCCAACTTGTAAAATGGAGTTCGCCAAGTCACCGGGGCCATTTTACATCACCCAGGAGCTTAAAGAAACAGCGCAGACATAGCACCACCTATGTAACGAATATTAGCTTCGGTTTTTGCTCAATGGTACGGAGTCATTCAAATCATTTCTCTGCATGGGGCCAAGAACGGTATTTGCGTTATGATATTAGCGTTCCCGCACTTTTCCATGAGCTGAACCAGATACAACCGGCCACATTACACGTGAATCTTCCAAGCGAATCGACTCGTTTGAACGGTTCGCGATTCACTTGCGTCACCACTCCCTACAGTCGGGTGACATCTGTGGAGGAGCGAAAACTCGATCAATTCGGCTCTACCAAATCAAAAAGAACCGATTCGCTTGCGAATCGGATATTACGCCGGTCCGGCGCAGCCAACACCCTAAAACTAACGCATTGTTTCACCATTACTTCATTCAAATCGCTGATTTTTCCTGAAATATTCGTACTTAAAAAAAAAAAAAAAAAAGCAAGCTAGTTTTCGTCAATGTTTAGCCGAGAACTCAAAAAAGAAGACCTTATTTAAAAACGTGTTTCCTGTGTGATTAATCCAGGACCACATTTAGACCGGAGTAGCTTTTAATGGTGAAATGTAAAAATGATAACCACAATCGAAATCAGCATAGTGTACAGCATATATTTAAGAAAAAATAAAAAACTAAAACAAATCGCTGTTCTAAACGCCGCGGATTAGTTATTTTTAACCCCCAAAAGGTATTTAATGGAGTACGATTAAAAATATATATTTGTTTAGTTCTTACCTTTGCACCAATTTGGTTGCCGCACTGTCCAGCCTGTAAATGCACAATCTCCCTCATTGTTGATTATTTGCTTGCTTAACAACACAATGTACCTGAAACAAACCCCTTCCGACTCAAAACACTCGACAATGAGGTCGTAATATCAGACGTGCTCCTACTTATTCAGTCTGGAAAAATCACCTACATTTCCTTCATTCTCATTGGTTGCTGTACGCCCTCTCCAGCATTCTCATTGGCTCTCTTGTGTGCTCATTGTTATGATTGGTTCGTACAGGCGCTGACGTCACTAGTAAGGCTTTATAGCTATTGGCTGGAAGGCAGCGCGGTTATAACGGCTCTCTCGACATTCAAAACGCTTATCTAAAAAAATTAAACGTTTTTGAGAAATAGGAGGGGCTGCAGGGATATTTTCCAAAACTTAGTTGCTTGTAAAGAATGAAATCAGGGCTGATGCCATTTTGACAGTTTAACATTACTATTTGCTCCTCATTTACCACGCTGACAAGGTAAAGATAGTTCTTTCATATGGCAGCAATAAAGAAATAAAAATCGCTAATAGGTTTAAAGCTCATCTATGAAGCTTGTGTAAATGTGTAAACAAAGATAACCATAGACAGTACAGTCATTTAGTGTTGTGTATATGAGTGTCCTGAAAATAAATGTTTCCAAAAAGTGCTTTAAAGATTATACAAGCTATATGCCCAGTCTTTATACCTAGAATTGTACATCCATCTCTCAACAACCACATTTTCATTGAAAAAAAACTGCATCAATAAGATGTATTAATAGACACAAGGAGAGTAGTCTTTGCATTTCTATATGATTTTTAATGTCTTTAAAAGCTGATATTGCATCAACATGTATCCTTGACAACATAATGAACCTCAAGTTGTGTTTTAGCTCACTGTCATATGTTTCTGATCCCCTATTCTCTACCCAAGGACCATATAAAAATAATATGAAGTGTGCCAAGGTCACTGGGTCTTAATACAAATTGTTTACCAAAATAATTGTTTTCTGTTGCAGAGAGAAATAATAAAAAGACATGCATGATTGCCATGCAAGAACATTTACAAAGAAACAAAAACAAGAAAGGAAAAAATCCAGTCTTCTCTCGGCATGTTTGGTGAACTCAAATGTTGTTTCATTCTGGGTCAACTCTATAATTTCTTCTTTGTCTATGTGGATTTTGTGTTAAGCAGCTGTCTTTCCTAAACAATTCCTCAGGTGTGTCTTTGTCTACGGTCATAGATCGTCCTGTTTGTTCAGTCCATGTTTTTCAATGTATCGTCTGCGGGTGGGGTGAATAGAAAATAAAGAATCAGATTACTCAATTCAATAAATAAAAATGGAGTGCAACATACCTTTATTATACAAAAAACCTAGTGGATACTGGCATACAATGGATTTCAGGCACAAAGATTTTCAAGCTCAATGCCATTGTGTGCTAAACATTTCAGATGTGTCTAAAATGCAACACATTTTAAGTATTATTTTAAGGATTTTAAAACAATTACCTTCTTGCATATTCGTAGAAGGCTTCTTTTCTTTCCTGTAGAGACATGTGTCTGTCTATGGGTGTTCTCCCAAAAGATTTGGCAGCTGGCTGTTGATGAATACACAGACATATTTATTCAAATATCCTGTCAGACAAAAGGCTTTGACTACTATTTATAGGTAAATTCACTAATATAGGCCATGCGAGAAGGAGGCCATTGTGCTATTCGTACATGATAAGGTCAAATCCAAAACGCAGAGCTTGTTTCTTTGTGGGGCAATGAAGAATAGTGCAAATCTTGTGTAATAAATGGTTTTCGTTAATATGGGACAAGACACTTTGGTACTTTGACTAAAGTCTGTCTTGCTCCTGCATTTGCTTTGCATTTTTTTTTTTACAGGGTACAGGGTCAGCTGTACCTTCAAATTGGGTGTGGATTCTGTTACAGACGGAGTGGAAGAAGCTGCTTGTTTAGCTGGACCTGAAGGTGTGCCCACAGCCGCCTCCGAGGTGAACTGGTCAGTATTCTCCAGCAGGTTGGTTATGGTTGTGTCCACACAGTTGGTCTGCACTGTACAGAGACAATATCAAGGGGTTACTTAACCAAATCCATACTGGCTGAAACTGCATTGCTTAAACCCAAGGAACCAGCTTTGCATTAGTACGCATATGCGGAAGCCACTGAAGCGTATAATGGCACATAAGCTTTTTGAAGCAAACGAAGCTAGTCTGAATTAAAGGAATAGTTCATCCAAAAATGTTGCTGAATATTTACTCACCCTCAGGCCACCCAAGATGAAGATAAGTTTGTTTCTTTATCAGAACAGATTAGGAAAAATGTATCATTAATTTACTTGCTCACCAATTGATCCTCTGTAGTGAATGAGTGCCATTAGACGGTTTGAAGTTAAAACATCTTAATGAAGAATGTGTTTCTTGCAAACACGCAGCTTTTCTATTCACAAGATGCTAATTGATGGACTGGAGTCCTGTGGATTACTTGTGTATTATTGTGATGTATTTATAAGCTGTTTGGACTCTAATTCTGACGGCACCCATTCAATGCAGAGGATCCACTGGTGTTGAATGCTAAATCTCTCCAAAAAAAAAGCTAAATCTCTCCAAAAAAAAATCTAATCTCTCCAAATCTGTTCTGATGAAGAAACAAACTCTTCTACATCTTGCAGGGCTCAACAATAAGGATTTTCTGTAGTGGCCCAGTTGGGCCAGTGGTTCAAATTTTCATTTGCCCTGCCAACATTTTCACTGGCCCAGCCACAAAAAAATACAATTGTTGTTGTAATCGTTGTTTTTTACCCATGTTATCTTGTATTATAATAAATAAGCTTATATGATACCAAATATTTAAACGCCAGTTAAATTGTACAATCCTCAATTTCAATTTCTACCCTAACAAATATAAAGTTCAAATATTATTAAAGACAAGTGAACAGTCAGTAAATAAGAACAAATTAATAAATTACATGCAACAGCACAAATAAATAAACAGAACAAAGATATAAATTAAACAATACTTTAGCTTTTTAGGTTTGTAGGTGTTCAGGAACAGAAATTGAATAATCAAATGTAAAAAACAAATTAAATATAGATTAATCATTGTTAAAGCTGCTTATTCAGTCAAGAGCAGTGAGTGATTTTTGGATTAACATTAAGGACACTGACAGCAGCAGGTCACTTTAAGAGACAATGCGTGGATCAAATATAATGATACACATCTGATTTTATTCTCAACAGTTAAAGTTTACTTAAAGGTGCAATAGGTGTTTGTCTTCAGAAACATTTTTTGTTATGCTGGTTGAAAGTCTCTTCACATCCAGCGGTCCAGCGGCAATTCCAGTCCTCGCGCCCCCCAGCTCTGCATATTTTGCATGTCTCGCTTAGTTAACACACCCGATTCAGATAACCAGCTCGTTAGAAGAGAGCTATGTGCATGAACTGTGTTCCGATCGATATGATCCCTACACAGTGTTCATTGCTCCCTACTCTCTGAGCAGTGGAAATTGGAAATTGGAAAGTGGAAGTTTACTTCACTTCAGAACATTCATTCACGGATTTCAGTGCGAGACTGGAATTGGGAACCGCTGATGTAACCTATTGTAGTAATGTTGTCTCTGGTATTCTGGTCTGTGAGTGTATATGCGTTCAGGGGCGTGTTTTTGGACGGCGATTGCAGAGAGGGTGGGACGTTCGCTTTCAGTGCTATCAGGCTAAAGTTAGCATTTTCCAAGATCTCCTACTGCACCTTTAAGACAAACTGTTTTCGTGGATACTCACCAAGATGGGTTTTTAGACTTTTGTATGTATTTGTCCATTCAAGTGCAAGACGACACAGAAAGAAACTCAATTTGGGTCTCATGCATTGCCTGAGATGAGGCTCTGTGTGCGCACAAAAACACACTGACTGGAGTTGTTATTCGTGTCTTCTTGCACTTTCTCTTGCTTTAAAATCTCTCGAATGTTCAAATTGGCCAGATGTATTTGTCCGTTAAAGCAAGAAGTGAAAGAGAAACTCAATTCGGTGTTCGCACGTTGTCTGACACCATGTCCTAACTACACGCGACGCGACAAGATTGCAGCGACAAGCAATTTGTGTGTCCACACCAGACGCGACAATCAAATATCACAGCCAATCAAAAGCATGTGTGGGCGGGCTCTCTCTGGAAGCTCAGTGCTCTGCAACGAAATGGATACATTTATAATCTAATTCATAAATATTAAACCTTTTTAACATCATTAAATGTACATACTGAATGACTGATAACATGTTTGTCATGGAATACACTCAGTTCGCAGGGAGTTCACAGTTTTAACGTACATATTTGCTTTAATTTATTTTCAAGATCTGAGGTAAACTATCTGTTGTTGCTTTCAATATGGCTATAAGGTCACGCAAAATGATATTTAAACTCATATTAGACACGTTTAACTTTGAATAAAGCACATAATCACCTGAGATTATCTATAGTTTGTATGTTGTTGTTCCAGCCGTGATGTCGCGGAAATAGAAACCGTTTCTAAATTAGAAATTTCGCGTGTCTCTGTCGCGGGTAGTTAGGACAAAAACTGATTAACATGGAAAAGATACCTTTTATCACGTGTCGCGACGCGTGTAGTTAGGACACGGTGTGAGATGCACCTCTCTGTTTGCGTACTTTACACACAGAACATAGCGCGAGAGTACTGAATTAATGTCCTTTGCGTCTTCTTGTGCTCAAATGCTATAAAATCGCTTGAATGTTTGAATTGGCAAGGCTTAAAAACACATGCAAATTTTAATCATTCGTGAGGATGCAGCAGTGGCCTGATCGGGCCACTAGCTATGTTTCCATCCATGAAAAGTTAAAGGGGTCATTTGTTGTTGCCAAAAAGAACATTATTTTGTGTATTTGGTGTAAAGAAATGTGTTTATGCGGTTTAAGGTTCAAAAAACACATTATTTTCCACATACTGTACATTATTGTTTCTCCTCTATGCCCCACCTTTCTGAAACGCGTCAATTTTTACAAAGCTCATCGGTCTGAAAAGCAAGGTGTGCTGTGATTGGCCAGCTATCCACTGCGTTATGATGATCCCCAGCTGATTTTGTAAGTTTGCCTACTTACAAAGAAATGAATGGTCTGTAATTTTTGTGGTAGGTTTATTTTAACGATAGAGACAGAATATCAACCAAAAAATCCAGAAAAAACACATTATATAGAGGTTAGAAACTGATTTGCATTTCAGTGAGTGAAATAAGTAGTGGGCGACTGATACTGGTTTTTTGACAGCCGATGCCGATATCTTGGAAAGCAGGGTGGCCGATGGCCAATATAAAGCCGATATAAGCACGCGATCACGCAGGATACAAATGCACACTTCACAAGATCTCACAGCTAGATTTGACTACGTTTGCAAGATTTTTGAATTTAAATGTTCATTAGTCATTCAAAGATTTGTTTAAATGATATAAATGCATATTTGCTGAATGCTGACGGAAAACGAGAAAGTATTATAATGTTTGCCTTTCTATAACTAATAATATAAAAGCAATCGTTATAATACCTTTTTGTATACATTTTAATTCCTTTGTTTAACAGTTCTTTCTGATTAGACAGATTTATGTCCGTATTAGACATACCTGTCAACCCTCCCGTTTTTCCCAGGATTCTCCCGTATTTTACCATTCTATCCCGCTATCATCCCGTTTAAATATTTTCCCGTATTTTCAATCTATATATAAAAAATCCCACTGGGTGTATTTTATGTTTGCTACATTTGCCTCCGTTAAAACTCCCGTATTTTGTCTGGCCCAAACAAAGAACTTATACTGACTTCTATACTGGGCTTCTATCTTTGGCCCAAACCTCATTATATGAATAATCATGTCAACATATTCCAAGGTTGCCCAGTTGCCAGACCTTGTATGAAACGCATCCTTCTCACACAATCGACACTTGGAAACCTACAACCCAGTGATGCTATTGATATGTGCGCAGGGAGTACCGCGGGAAGGAAACAAGGATCACTGGTAGAAAGGGGAGGAGAAGACTCAGGTGGACACTTGGCAACCTACAACCCAGTGATGCTATTGATATGCGCGCAGGGAGTACCGCGGGAAGGAAACAAGGATCACTGGTAGAAAGGGGAGGAGAAGACTCAGGTGGTGCTCCAGTAAAAAACAAACAAAATATACATGTAAATTGAGATATAGCATGCACTTCAAAAGGCTATGGTTTAATTGATTAAATACGAGCGCTGCAAGTTACAAAGTCAGGTGCTGCACTGCTTTGTTTACTGCAGTTACCAGGGAAACGGCTATATTCCTGGCCATAAGCGCCACCTACTGGCAGAGAATGAATTTGCATTTTTCAATAAGCCCTTCTGCTCTTTGTTTTTACGCAGAAATCATGCAGTTGTAAATGTGAACCGGTGGATCGACAAGAAGATAATGAATTATAAAGTCTCCCGTATTTTGGTACCCAAATGTTGACAGGTATGGTATTAGACAGAGCTGTTAACGACGACAACGAACAAGGAGAATGTGAGCACTGTGTGCGCAGGCGCTGCCGTTCTCAGCGCCGTCAAAATAAAAGTCCCGCCTCGAACGCATCGGCCAAACAGAAAACTTATCGGCCGATGCCGAAATGTGAAAAATGCCAAATATCGGCCGATATATCAGCCTTGGCGATATATCGGTCGACCACTAGAAATAAGTATTTGATCCCCTACCAACCAGCAAGAATTCTGGCTCCCACAGATTGGTTATGTGCCCATGTGGAACACAGATTAGTCCGGCCACTTTAAGAAGTTACTCCTAATGTCAGCTTGTTAGGTGTATAAGACACCTGTCCACAAAATCTGTATCTTCCATTCCAACCTCTCCCACCACCATGGGCATGACCAAAGAGCTGTCAAAGGAAGTCAGAGACAAGATTGTAGATCTGCACAAGGCTTGAATGGGCTACAAGGCCATCAGCAAGCTTGGTGAGAAGGAGACAACTGTTGGTGCGATTATTCGGAAATGGAAGAAATGCAAAAACAACCATCAATCGACCTTGGTCTGAAGCTCCGTGCAAGATCTTGCCTCATGGGGTAAGTATGATCATGAGAAAGGTGAGGGATCAGGCCAGAACTACACGGGAGGAGCTTGTTAAGGATCTTAAGGCAGTTGGAACCACAGTCACCAAGCAAACCATTGGTAACACACTACGTCGCAATGGACTGAAATCCTGCAGCGCCCGCAAAGTCCCCCTGCTCAAGAAGGCACATGTACAGGCCCGTTTAAAGTTTGCCAGAGAACATCTAAATGATTCAGAGAAGGCTTGGGAGAAAGTGCTGTAGTCAGATGAGACCAAAATTGAGCTCTTTGGCATTAACTCGACTCGCCGTGTTTGGAGGGAGAGAAATGCTGACTATGACCCCAAGAACACCATCCCTACAGTCAAGCA